CAATTTCTAACAATGTCTAACAAGATCATTTGGAAATGAGTCTCCCTAGGGGACTGCAATCATGGCTTTGGGAAAGGCCTGTTCCTTTGCTTCACACGGAGCCGCAGAAGTCTCAGTGTCTCGGGCAGCCCTGCTCCTGCCGATGGCGTTTGTGGGGCACACCCCAGCACCTCGCCATTTGATGCAAGGGGAAAGGGCACCCCATGAGCTGCTGCCCCGTGGCACCGCACTGCCAGGCTGTAGCAGCAGGTACCATGGCTCTGTGCCACCTGTAAATATCACAGAAGTGTTGCTGGAGGTGGTTCAGCCTCAGAAATGGGACAGCCTCCGCCATCTCCTGCCCCGTTGTGTCTGTGAAAGGTGCTGGGCATCTAGCTGCTGTTGGAGAGCCTACCTGTTAGAGCAAAAATGGGTCCGTGGGCTTGTCATCCTCCCCTCTGCTTTCCCCCACTGTTCCTTGAGCCTCGGAGCAGAGCCTGGGCTGCTCCTGTCCCAGCTCCTCGCTTGCCTAGCGCCAGATGTTTCAGCAGAGGGAACAGAATAACTCATAATTAATTTATCTTCGTGAAAAAGAAACAAAAAACAAAAACAAAAAAAAAAAAAAAACACATTTCTAGCTCTAATTAATAGCTGGTTTTAAGACTATTGTGTAGCAGGGAGGGATTTCTGTCATGTAACATGACTCTGGATGCGCTCATTGTCTGCTCGGACATCCGTCTCCGCTGCCCTGATCCCCAAAGTCTTTGGGCTGCGATGCTGCAGCGTGGGCACTGTACTGAAGCTTCCTCCTGCTTTCTGCTTCAGAACTTGCTTCTCAGAGCCACCACTTCTTCCCTTCCTCTGCATCATAAGGAAGATGAAATAAAATTGCCTCTCCCGTCGCGGCAGCCTCGCGCACCAGGCTAAGGCCGGCTGAAACAGCTCCGTCGCGCGCTGCCACCCTCCTTAAATCCACATCAGAAGGCTTTATCTGTTCTTTTTGGGGAAAAGGGAAGCGCAGCGGGACAGCGCTCCTGCATGAGGCCTGTTTTGAAATTCTGGTCCAGAAAAGTAATAGATCAGGATCAAAACCCACGACTACAAAGTGCAGGGAGGGAGGCGCGACCCCTGCCCCTCGGGGGCTCCTCTCCCCGCTCCATCTGTGCCGGTGCAGTGCGAGGCCTGACCCAGCCCAGTGCTGCTTCAGCACACGGAGCATACAGAATAAAGCTGCTCTGCACAGACCCCATCTCAGGTCCTCGGGAGATGCTGAACTCACCCTGCTCTGCTGCATTTTGCTGCGGCAGGGTGGACATCCCGCTGGGAGGGGACCCCCTGTGCTGTTTGGGTACCCCGTGGCTGTTGGAAGAAGGCTCAGGGACCATTGCTCGTGGTTAGCAGGCAAGCCGTGGCACCTCTGATGGCTGGTTTGGTGTGAGCTCGATTATAAAACACGATTGAGTTTTAGAATTAATTCCCTTTGCTGTTGGAGGGAAACAACTGGTTCTGTCTTGTCAGCGTAAGGTGTTCCTGAAGGTTTTGTTTACACCGTAATGATTGAACAAGTCTTCATCATATTTTAATGTGCTAATTGGGGGTTATTATGGCCCATTTTATTTACGATTATATTACAAATATAATACTCCGTCTCATTTTACTCTGAACTAAGAGCTTTGAAAGGATGATAATTACCTCTCATGTAAACCTATACTTATATAGAAAAAATGACATGTGGAATGAAAGGCCTGAAGAAATGGCATAATATGTTTGCTTTGCATAGACATGCAGTATGTACCCGCGCTTCTCTCCTGGATGTATGCAATATTTACACTCGGAGCAGTTCATTAGCGCCGCAGATACGCTGCTGTATTCGGGCTCCAAAGGCAGAGCGAGTGGGCTCCGCGCTCCGCCACATCTGTAGTGTTTGTTTAATATTAAGCCAGCTCTCTGAATGCTAATGCTGGCTGGAGCCGGATGAATAATTCATCGCCGCCACTTGCCTTGGATGGATTTTGCCTTTTCTCCTGCGTGGCAGAAATCCTGCCGGGGTGCAAAGGGCCCCCTGGAGCCCCGTGCCCTGGCTGGGGAGCGCAGTGCTGGCCCCGCGGGAGCAGAGCAGCTCCGTACATCCAGGGCAGGGGCTGGCTCCCTTGGGGGGCTCCATCCTCAGCATCACCCTGGGGCTTGTCACGGCCTTGGAGGAGAGCCCACACCTTCAAACGGCATTGCCTCCACCTCTTATTCCCCAGGGTTTTAAGTCTCTGAAGTCGTTGGGAAGGCGGCTGGCTTGGAGGGTTTGCTGGCTGATGGCTTGCGCTGCTCCAAGCTCAAGATTGCCTTTGCATCTGCTCGTCTCATTATACTGAGTGCTTCGTGCCACAGCTTGAAAGATTAACCACGGATTAAAAAGTAAAAAGCACAAGGCTGTAAAAGCAACAGGTTGGGAAGGAGAAGAGGATGCCAAAGTACCCGTGCACCGTGACTCCCTCGCCCTGCAGCGCAGCTCGCTCTGCCTGCAGGGAGCCAGCCCTGGTGCCAGGGCTGGTGGGGACCTCGTTTCTGGGGCTTTCCCACCTTTCTGCCCACCACACCGAGGAAAGGATGCGTTTCAGTCCCCAGGGGGACCTCAGACCCTGCTGTCTGCCTTCACCTGATGCAGGCAGTGAGTAGGGGAGGGGATGCTGGTGCTGCTCTGGACACTGATGTCCCCAGCGCTGGGGACAAGCTGGGCACAAGGCACTTGGCTGCAGAGCCATGTCCTCCTTGCAAACATGCACACAGGAGCTTTCCCACCACACAAATAACTGCCATCCTGCCTTTTCTGATCTTTTTCTGCATTTTCCCTTTTATTTTTTTTTCCCCACAAGACCTCAGGGCTATAATTATTTTTTGGGGCTAGATCAATATGCCAAAGCTCTGCAAATCGCAAGGATATTTTTTGTTTGTTATTTAGGTGACTAAGCTGATTTTATTAATGCTCACCTGCAGCCTGGGATGCAGAGAGGGCAGCTCAGCTCAGCACTACGCCGGGCAGAGGGAAGGAAGGCAGAGCGCTTCCTCCAGCCCTGGGAGAGGCGGCAGCTGTGCACGGGTGGAACCTGCTGCTGGGGACACTGGCCCCACCACTGACAGTGCCACCAAAAGCCCAGGGGATGGGCAATTCCTGCAGGGAAACAGCTGGGAGCTCAGGGCATTGTGCTGGGAGCAGGGCCAGAGCCCTGCACCCAAAGGCACCTGGTTCGGCGGTGCCGCCAGCAGGGACGGCTCCTCTGAGCTGCATCGAGAGCGAAATCCTGGCTGTGTTGAATGTATTTTCTTCTGGTTTTGAAGTTTGCGAGGCAACTTGCTAAGGAGGCTAATGCTTAGTTTTAAGCCTTTCAGAGCAAAGCCATCTGACCCAGTTAAGTCACCTGTCCCGCAGTGTAACAGGATCTCTTCTAAACCCTTCGGCTCTGCCGAGAAAGCCACTGCAAATCCTCCTTCCCCATGGGAATGGAGGATGGGGTAATGGGGTAAAGCATCTCACAGGCTCCCTGTGTGATAGCATCCCTCAGTGCAAGATTTATTTTGGCCCTGGGAAGGATTTAGCTCCCCCCCTTCCCATGGATGCGGCTCCGTCCCTGCCTGTGCTGGCAGCTGCCAGGTGCAGCAGCCGGTGCTGAGCTGAGTGCTCCGGGGGCATTTAACAAAGACAGCAGAACTACTTCTAATATTCTTACGAATCACTTGATGCTTTTGGGGTGTTTCAGCTGGGCAGAAAAGGCTTTGTAACAGCGACAGGCTCCCTGAGCATCCTTTGGTCACACTTGCTGCAGGTGCTTTGCGTCCCGCTGGTAATCTGGGGACGGTGCTGGCAAACCCCAGCCGGACAGTTTTACATGTACAACTGGGCTAGGAAGTGTCTCTGGTACAAGCAGCCATGATCCTCCCAAATATTTGCATTGCAACAGATGTTACTTTATATATTTTCTTTCCCCTAAGTCTTTGGTTATTACTGAGAGGCAGGGATGCCAGGTGTGACTCTAACTACCAAAATCAGGGCTCATTCAGTGCCTTGATGACATCAATTAACTTCAGGGTGCAAGTGCCAAGATTTTTCCAATTAAGGCAGGTAAATTTCTCAGTCTATAATAATCTCATTTGAAGTGGTTCAAATTAGTTTAATTTCTTTTCTATGGAGCCACATAGATACGCATGTGTACATGTGTGGTAGAAAACTGCTCGGTGCTTGTAACTTCTGACTCTGGAGTCTCTCTACATACACAATGATTTTTCTGAAAAAGATCGGCTTTCTGCTGATGTCTGCGTGCGGTCTACACAAAAATTATCAGCCAAGGAAGATCTCTGAAAGCAGAGAAATGCCTCCCCATAGCGAGCTGAAGCCTGCCAAGTGGCCAGTGGTCACTGGGAACTTGGTTCCAGATTAGTGTGGGAATAAACCCACAGAATTATAAGGAGAAAAAAAAAGTTAACTTTCAGTGTGTAGAAGGTAAATTTCATGCTGTCTAGGGTGATTGATCTTTTGGGGACTGTGTAACTAGATGAATAACAGCAGTTTTCAGGTGTTTCTGAGGGGAGGGCTCACCTAACCCTCCTGGGGTCCGCGGTGTCTGGAGGGCACCGGGGCGGCAGCACCTCCGAGGTGGGTCGGCTCTCCCTGAACGTCTCAGCCCAAGCAGGAGAAGGGAACTTCAGAAATCAGCTCTACAGAGGGAATAATTCATGGGCGCTCTTGATCTGGAAAGTGATTCATTTAAATCCAGGCAGGAAATCTAAACAGGCTCGTGCCTTGCAGCCGTCCTGCGCAGCGCGCGGGAGCTCGCGGGGCAGTGAGGAATGGCCCTGTTGTCCTTGGTGTAGCTGCACCGTGGGTAAACAGCGAAATGTAATCTTCAGCGCTCTCCTTCAGACACCTTTCATCAGAACTGCATTAACTTCTTTTCTTTTTTTAATGAGCGGGTATTAAATCCGAGAGGATTTGCAGTAGAAGTGAAGTTTTATATCCCAATTTCCGCACCCAGGAAATCAGCTACTGAGTCCAAGTGTTGTCAGAACAGCTACAAAAAAAAAAAAAAAAAAAAAAAAAAAAAGAGAGAGAGAAGAAGAAACTTGCAATCTGCACAGAAGAAGAAACACAAAGTCTTTGGTGTGAAGGGAAGAGGCGTATCTCCCTGGAGAATATGATAATTTATAATGAAACATTATCTACAGACCCATATGTTACATTTTCTATTTATGGCTAATTTGCTTAAGCATTTATAACGTGCACCCCAAGGGAGGACAGTTTGTCTTTGGGCAGCTGGCTAGCCAGGGAGGGAGGAACTGAGGCGCTTCCACCCGAGCGTGCCGGCAGCGAGGAGCCAGCAGCACCCGCCGGGAGAGGGGCTGGAGGGGCTCCGGGGGGCTGCTCGTGCGCTGTGATGCTTCCACCTGCAAGGATCCTGTGGGGCTGCACCAGGCTGTGTCCAGCACGGGCTGGGGCGAGCCAACCCCCAGTATGTGGGGGTCAGCCCCCACGTGCCATTCCTGGTGCAATTCCCACCCGCGGGGATGAGCCCGAGCCATGGGGCTTGGGGCCAGCTCCTCCCCTGCTTTGTTTCATCTCCTTCTGCCCCGCCAAGCACTGCAGGCAGGCTGGGGAACGGGGGCCACGTCCCCAGCAAGCCTTTGGTGCCATGGGTTGGGGCCGGCACCGCTGCTGAGTGAGAAAGGCAGGAGAGCGTGCGTGAAAATGATGAATGCTCCTTTCAGCCTTGCTACGAGGCTGAGGAGATCCTGGGATATAAACATGACAGTTTATGCACCGGGTATGACGGCTCTGCTCTTCCCGGATGATATTCAGCCACAAACATTTCAATCACAGCCTCAGCGAGGGGTGGATAACCCAGATGACTCTCTGAATCACTCTCTGCATCGCTAAAATATTTTCAGATCTGATCCCAGACGTCTCTACAAGATGTTCACAAATCAACCCAGGAATACTTCTCCTTTCTTCTGATGCTCAAATTTTGCCCTTGAGTTCCCTGAGAAAAAAAAAATAAAAAAATTCAAGATTTCAAGATTTCCTCCTGCTATTTGACCCACATGTCTGCTCACGAGCACGGCGAGGCGCTGAGGTCAGCCCTGAGCAGCCTCGGCTCAGTGCCGCGCAGCCCCTGGGCCCACGCCAGAGCCGCTCATCACTTCTTTTCAAAAATGGCATCAAATGTTCCTCCTCGGCAAGGCAAAAGGAAACAGACTACAGAGGAGAAGAGGCTGCAGTGCAGAGGAAGCAAATGACCACAGAGCTCTCTGGAGGCAGCTCTGGATGTGGAGCCAGGCTCACCCCAGCCCTGGTGCATTGAGCTAGAAGAGCGCCTTGAAACACCGGTGGTTTCTTGGTGGCACTGCCATGCTCTCCTACCCATTAGCGTGGTATTAAAAGCAATAATAACACTGAATAAAATGTTTATTACTTTCCAAACCCTCCATCCTCAGGGGCCAGCACAGGTTTTGTAGACAGACTGAAGTCGACTCAAGCCAAACTCACCTCCTGTCATTGCCCTGCCTTGGAGAGATCACTTCATTTTTCTCAGTGAAGAGGGCTGCTGTAAATTAAGGCTTGTCTGGACAACAGCAAACTGTTTGCTGGAATTATAGGATTTTACTTCACACTTACGTGATCACTGTTTTCCTGAAGCCAGGCTCCCGGGTGCTCTGTAACTGCAGGTCTGCAGAGGTGGCTCACTCGTAATTCTGTAATTTGTTCTGTGCTCGTCTGGTACAATGGCTAATCACACACGTCTGGAGGAAGATCGTTAATTTATCGGTTATCACTGTTATCAGTCATAAATTCAATCACACTTTGCTTTTAGGGAATAGAAGATTACAAGTCTGAATTTCTGCTTCGAGGTGATGGTGTGTGTGTACATGTGCGTGATTAGGCTGAATGGAGCTCTCTGATGAAAGGAGCAGGCACAGCTCTGGAGCAATACCTAAACACACGTATCTGGCAGTGATGTGTGCACTTAATAAATGAAGTAACACATCGAATCATGCTTTTCTCCAGACGGCTACGTCTCTGCTCAGCTAACCAACAGCAGACCAGAAGCTCACCTCCCTAGAATAATTAGATGACAATTTTATGGATACTTCTTACCCCTGTAGCATCAATTCAGCTCTCAGCTTTGCCCAGATTATTGATTTAAAGCATATTAAGGATCAATAACCGGTCTAATTGCTCGGCTGCCTCTCAGCAGCTCTCTGCACTCGCCCCAGCCGAGATGCTCTGCAGCAGCAGCAGCAGCAGCTCGGTGCTCCCATCCTCGCCCCCCGCGAGCTGTGCAGCTGTCTGATGTGTGAGTGGGGATCCAGCATCTCCCTGATACAATATCAGCCTCCTGGAGCTGATTTCAATGGAGGAAATCAAAGCGAACCATTAAAACTCATTACCATTTTTATCTCCAATGCTGCAGATTCTATTTGCTATAATTTTATTTGAATCGGAATGCATATTGTATTTACAACATCCTCTCTTTTACCTCCTCATTTTTGTTCTAAGGGAAGCTCGGTCACAACCGTAGCAGTAAGAACACCAGCTCGAACGCATCCATTTTGGAGCCAGACTCCTGAAAAACGCCGTTTTGAAGTGCTGAATATCAGTGGGCTGCAGAAGTGCTGGGAGCACGGGATAGCAGAGAACAAAGTTCAGTCAGACGGGCAAACGTTTTAGCATGTTTTGAGTATTTGTAGCAAGTCAGCCTGCTGTACTCTCCAGTGCTTGACCTCGTCTCATTCCCTGTTGAGATGCACGAGGACAGTGTGAGAAAGGAAGGAGCCGTGATGCTGAGCTGCACCAGCGCCTGCCCCCAGGTGATGAGCGTGGCTGCAGCACCGAGGCTTTGCTGCAAGCAGCATGGGTGAGCCAGCAGCAGGCTGGAGCTGGGGTCACCCCGTGAGCCCCCCCAGACCCGCTGCCAGGAGCTGGGATGGGGCTGGTGCCCGCAGTCCCCATCCCTGGTGTTCCCCCAGCAGGCAGTGGCTCAGCGTTTCCTGCACTGCTCAAAATGACCATCAAATGGCAGCTTAATGTGTGCCTGTAAAGCTGAAGGCCTCAGATTTTTCTCCAGGGCTGCGCTTTGATATTTCACTCAGAAACAGAAGAAGAAAGAGGCAGAGAGGGGAAGCCACACACCGGTATTTTTGGAGCTCAGCGTGGGGCTGGTACAGCTGCTGAAGCCGTGGTGCGTTTGGGCTCATTACAAATGGTTTGTGCTTCTCGGACCACAGCCGGGCTGCGGGAGGCACCGATCGCAGCCTGCAGGAGCGGATCCGTGCAGCCCCGGCAGGAGCCGAGGCACGAGCATCACCCGGGAGGGAAGGAGAGGCTCAGAGCCCCGGAGCTGCTGTGCCAGGCCCTGCGGCTTCCAGGAGCCACCAGCAGTTGCCTGAAGAGAAGACACCAGGAGGAATTAACATGTAAAAAGTGAGAATTGTGGGATGAAACGTTGCCCTGGTAATTCACAGTCAGAGGCGCAGGTCTCTGCCGGAGGATTTGCTGCGGCCGTGTCTGCCTAAAACACTACAGTGGATTTTGGCTTCTTGGAGGCTCGGCAGCCTCTTGCCCGGCCTCCCTGTCCGCCGGCCGTGCTGCGCTGCTCCTCGCACGGCTATGAGGCATGGGCTGGAGGCTCGTCTCCCTCCTGCCTGAAATAAATGATCCCAAGTTGTGTTTATACTGCACGCTCCCCGAGCAATTCATAACGGCGACAGAAACATGACAGCGGAGAGAAAAAGAGCAATGTCCTCACCGCCCTCCCGCCCGCCCAGGCGTGATTGCTGGAGCTGCTGCGGAGGCGGCCGGCGGTGGGGACGGGGCTGGGGGACGTGCGGTGACCCCAGCCGGTGCCAGCCCCACAGCCACAGCACCATCGGCTCCATCCCTGGCACCATGGCATGGCCGGAGACTGATGCTTTGGCTGATAGCAGGAGCTCTCTGTGCTTTCTGAGGATGTGGATGTTGCTGCAAGCCTCGTCAGATGGAGCTGGTCGGCATACGGCTAATGGGAGCAGAGAGAGGGACACAGCCGCAGCAGGAGGGTCCCACATTCCTTCCCATCTCTTGGTTCCCTTCTTCTCTATTCAGTACCTGCATGTTGCCATTATGCCTTTTATTATGAAAACAATATATTTCATAGTTTGCCAAAAGAGAATAACAATATTGATTTACACACAACGGCACATTTCATTTTCCATTAAACTTTTATGGCGCATAACAAGCTTTGTGGTGGGTGTGATCATTCCTGAGCATTAATGCAATAGCTGTAATGGATGCGAACATCCCTGCTAGAAGTGCTAACACAAACAGGCTGCTCCCTGCTTGCCTAGCGAGGGCTGCCTGCCCCAGGACCCTCTCCCACCAAACATCCCTGGGCACACTCGTCCCGTCTGCCCCCAGAGCAGCACCCGGCACAGGAGCAGCTCAGAGCAGCAGCAGGAGGCTGATTCTCAAGGCAGAACAGAATTAAGATGCTGCGGTGCCACTTGCTCTCCAGCACAATGGGCGTTTAGTCTCCGTAGCAGTTTTATACCTTCCAGCTATTTACGAGTTTCACTGAGACGTCGTCCTGTGTGCTGATGCAAAAAGAATTCACTGCCTTCCTGTGTACTTCAGGGCTCTGTCTCGCTGTACTTAAAGCTTATGGCTCACTACTCCTAGGATTTGTTTTTCCAGCACTGGTTGCTTTGAAATTTTCTTCCTATGGGCCACAGATGTTAATTCCAGCTGTATCCTATCTAAGAGTGCAGGTAAATAATTTACAGCTAGGAAAAGGTGTTTCGGCTGGATGCAGGTAGCTTTCACAGCCTCTCATAAGATGAATTAGGCAGCTTTTTGTGATTTCTCCGTACCATTTGTCATTGTTATGCCCCTGCAAACTCTGGCAATAGGTGCAGCAGATGGTCTGCGGCGATTTATATTTTAATGCCTAGGACACACACAAATGTACCATATGTAAAAACAGGGGGCTAGGTGTATGTCGGCCTTCTGCTGAGAGCAGTCCTGGCTTTCTGGCCTGCCTCTCCCTCGCTAACAAGGTCCTGTCTGAAACGATGGCTCTGGTGTTTTGTCCTGGGCTGTGCTCCTCTGGTGTGCATGTTGCAGGGACGCGTTCCTCCTAGCCAGAGATTACCCAACGCTTACCTCCACGTCACACAGAAAAGTCATAGAAACAAAACTGTGAAGTAGTAAAAAAAAATGAAATTAAAAAAAAAAAAAAAAGGCAATGAGCAAAGTAATTACAAAATTAGAACTGAGGAGCCCATGGAGGGCTGAGCAGGCATCTCAGGAGGCACCACGAGAAGGCTGCGAAGGCGGCGTGGGGGCGTCCTCAGCTTGCGGGGGGGACAAATCCCCGCGACCATCGCACGCACACACCTACGGACAGATGCAGACGTTACACGGGGGATGCAGAAAATAACCAGCATATGTAGCGATGCGCCATAAATTCAGTGGGATTATTGATGTGGCGGCCAACAGCCCGTAAAAGAACTGCGCGCAGTTCTCCCACGTCGGGCGCTCCCTTTCTGCTGCGCCTTGCTTGAGGATTCCTGGTATCGCTGCTGCCTGTGCCTGCAGGACAAACGCTGCAGATGCCTTAAATACTGATGCTCGGTGTGGCTGCTGCTGGACAGGGGCTCCCCAACCACCCTGGTGCTGCCCCAGCTCTGTGGCTCCCGCGCAGAACCCTCAGCCCGTGCCTTTGCAGTCAGCTTTCCGCAGGACCTCACTGTGCAGGGAAAATGCCTTAAAAACCAAGTCAGCTCTTGCCTGCGGAGTCCACATGAACCGAGCGCTGGCAGGTTGTTCCCTAGCTGTGCAAATCCAGGCAAAACCTCAGCACTTCCCAGAATTACTACTAGGCGTAGTGCTGGCGTGGGTCGGGCTCACAGCAAGCTGCACCTGAGCAGGAGGAGATGCAGGCTCTCCCAAACTGCCATCCCCAAATTTTAACGGGGAAGTCTGATCTTGTGCAAGGAGCAGAGGTTCCTTTCTGACAGCCGAATTAATATTCATTATTCATTAGGGAAGAAAATGCTGAGGTGTTTATCGTTGCTTCATTAGATTTAGCCAAATACAGGCTAAACGTAATTGCTTGCACAAACTCCTGTGGCAAGGCTTACAATTCATAGTCAAAAAGGAAAATCTGGGGACCCTGCATGGGCACGCGTGCAGGCAGCTGAAACCGAGCAGACACGGGCTTTAAGAAGTATTTCTCCAGTCTTTGTCATCTCCTGTTCTGTTTGTTTATAACCAGAGGGAAAACATAAACTAACCACTAGCAGCAGACACACCAAGCTGCTCTCTTTTTTGTCTAGCCATTTTGCAGTTCCAGAAAGAGAAGTGCTGGCTCAGAAAGCAGCTCAAAATTCATCGAGAGGCGCATCCAAAGCTTGGCGAAACTATTGATAACTGCATTTTTCCTGTCTTTCCTCAGCATTTCCATGAGTGCGGCATCATCTGCCTGGAGTTCAGGCTTTCGCATCTCTCCCAGTAAAGGTGGGGGAAATAAAGCAGGGGAAGAAGAATTCCTCATTTTCTCTATTTAACGAGCATTGTGTTTTGTTCTGGTTTATTACAACTGTGCCCATGGTGGAACCAGAGGGGGCTGAGCTTCACATGAGCCCACACAGGGATGGAGCAGAGAGGGGCCAGCAGCATCCACCGGTGCCCACGCTCAGTTTTAGGGATGGAGAACTGAAACCCAGACTCTCTTCTGGCTCCCAATTCTCACTTCCCACACTTAATTAAACTAATCAAGGCTTCCCCCTCCCCCTCAGCTTCCCTGCCAATAAAGGCAGCAGCACAGGGCAGGGTGGTGGATGTGGTGCCCTGGGAAGCTGTGTCTGACCCCAGCCCTGTGCCCTCGGATGCTCTGCGGATGGCAGGTCAGCTCTCCTCCTCCCCAGGTCCTGACCAGAACGAAATACCTCCGAAAGGCACCTGAAGGGAAAGCAAAGGCTGTTCTCTGCCTTTCAGATCCACTTGCTAATTACAAAGTGCATTCGTTTTAGCACCCTGCTATCCCGTAATTGATGTTGGATACCTCTCACAATGAGCCTGATTTAAATGTATACATGTTTCTCCTTCTCCTGAAACCCTGCTGGCTGTGAGACACCTAATTAACAGCAGAGCTTTCAAAGTCTCCCTAACAAATGCATCTCTGTGTTTCTTAGCACAAGGACTCTCATTAGCGAAGCTGTGCTTTGTGATTATTTATACCCCTTCTATAATTAAAAATTCTGAAAGCTAATTACAATTATCCATCAGTTTTTCAACATGCCAGGACTGGAGATCTTAACCTTTTTATACCGTTGGTTTTTTTTGTGTTTTTTTTTTTACGAGCATCCCCTCGCCCTTGAGGCAGGGGCGTGCGCCTGCCCCCTCCCAGCCTGCAGCCTCCTCTTCAGCGGCTTCTCTCCTTCCCTTCACACTTCACAGCCGGCTGTTTATTTGTTTTCATTATGTGCTTTACTTCGTTGTTGCCAGCA